ATAGAGTTTAGTGAAAACAGCAACAATTATGAAACACTACGATAACTGCTTACATGCAAACAGCAACAACAACGCGAGTATATTGTTACATTTGCGAATGCAATGGAAACCATAATGGCCCACAGACCGACGCAACAGGACGACAACTACATACAACGGTGGCGACGCGACAACAGGACGAAGCTGACACTGCCGCTTTGGTGGTGGGTGTGTGTGTGTGGTGGGTTGTATGCTATAAGCTGGGCCAAGTCCATTGGATTTTGAATAATTAACAAGCATGAGGCGAAGTGACAAAAATATAAACAAAAATACAAAGGAGCAGGAGGAGGAATAACAACCGAACAAAAGGACATATTACATACTGGCGTGCAAACTGATACAAATGTACACAAATATGCAAAGATATGTGTTTGAATGTGAGTAACACTGCGCTGTCAACATATTAAGCCACGCATATTTGAAATGGGAGCGTGCTGAGTTGGCGACGCAACCACTCAAGTGGAGCGAGCAACCGAGAGTGAAAGGATAACGTTGCGCGTACATTGTAGTCATCTGTAGACATACATATATAAATGTACATGGGTTGTGGGCGCGTTTTCACATTTCCAAACGAAGGGAGGGCGCATTTAAATTTATGTGAGAATAACAGGTGTGAACGACATGTGTGTGTGTGTATGTAGAAAGCAACAAGCACTTGAACGATGATGCGGCATTAAAGCAACAGCTCAGATCGCCAGCAACACATGTGACCGCAGCGTGAAGGGTGAAGGCATCGATTTCAAGCGAAAAACAAAAAAAAAAATTTAAATAAAATAAATTATTTATACATACATATGTATGTATGTATGGATGTAGGTAAACCTGCAAACAAAATAAAATGTCTAACCATGTTGTCTATAAACGATGGCATTCTATCAAAGCGAGCGTACAGCAAGCAGGTCAATGGGCGTGATGATGCAATGAGGTGTAACGGAAGTGTGTCTGCGTCGATAGAGTGATGAGTTAACAGAAAAACGTGTGGCGATTTGCACGTGCTTACATGGTTAAACATGTATACATATATATACGTTTATATATGTATATTAATCTGCAAGAGTGAGAACTTGATGTTATAAATTAACTTTAGTTTGAGTTAGTCAGCAGTTATACATATACATACATACATATATAGTACATATTTATTAACATATACGTACATATATTTTTGCTTAAGTAAGCAAAACGGTTCCTCTGTAGGTTTGTGTGTATGTATACCATGGAATGAACTGCAATGTAATTGAGAGGAGCGAATTGGCAATGACTATACACACACGTTTGTATGTATATATGTATATATTACCTAATTTGCATGCTAAATTAAGCTTAAAGTGCTGCTAATGATTTTAGAAGGACCATGCTGATGAGTGGTGTGCAAAAACAAAAGCAATAAATAACGATAAAGAGTGAAAGTCTGTCTCAATTGATGACCAGGCAAAAATTATGGAGTAAAAAAAGTTGGTTAAAGAATTTTCAAAGGGATTTAAAAGCTTCTTTGATAGATAATAGGGAAAACTCATGAATTTTACGTAATTAATATTACTCCTGCACAGGCATGCCGTTAAAATGCCAAAATTAAATTTAACTTTTTAAACACCAACGCCACTCAAAAACCTTTAAATACTTCAAATCTTTAATTTAAATCAGTCCAGCTATTTCTGAGTGAATAGAGGTCTCGTGTGGTGTCGGGTTTGATTTAAAGAAATTTCAAATTACCCTGTACTGCCCAACTTCTAAAAGTAAAGGCTTATTGCACATCTTAAGACCGTGTTCTTTAGTTTTACATCTCGTTTTTGAAATGTACGTATGTACATAGTTCTTACTTTTCATCGAGGTAGCAACCTTAATACAAATTATTTTGATTTATTTTGGAACGAATTTCTGTCATCCCTTGTCAAGCTTGGCTTGCATTCAAACCGGTTTCGGCGTTGTGACATCTTCAATGTCATTTTTCGTTCTCAAAATCCCAAATTCTTTCCAAAATAAATCATCTTACCACCCTGTCGCAAAAATCTACTAACACCAACACAAAAAATATTTTCTTAAAACTCTTTCATTTGACACTCATATTTTAACATTTCAATTTATAAGTTAAATAAAGCCTACTCCTCAAACAGGTGGCAACCCTCTGTAAAACTATTTTTATGTTAAAATCTTTTCACATCTCCTTCATCTGATATTGGTACATGTTTCAATTAACTGATGAATTAAGCCTTTTTAATGCTTTAAAAATGTGGCAACTATCCTAAGTACAGTTAATAACAGTTAAACTTGTCCAAATATTTGTTAAGGTCGAAATAAAAGTCCTTTCCTAATAAGAAACAAACCGCTTATCCAAATTAAAACAAATTTAGTATCAAATGAATGAGGACTGAGATTTCTTTCCTCATCTAGATATTTTAGCTTGTAAACTATTTCAGTCCTCTTTGATTCGATACTAAATTTTTTTAACTTGGATAATGGGTTTGCTTACTATTTATTAGGAAAGAACTTTTATTTCGGCCTTAAAAAATATTTCGTTAAGTTTAACTCTTATTACTGGACTTAAAAAAATAAAGGTCAAATAAAATAAGAGTCCAAAAATAACCTTTTTCTAGAGTCTTTTATTATAAAAGTTTTAAAAATTCGGGTCCCTGCCTCAAAAAACTCTAAAGGATCAAATCAAAGATTTCTTACTAAAAACTTATATTTTGTTTGACAGCCATAACCCAATATTCCATATAACTTCTTTTAACTAAATTTGACTTTTAAAAGATGTGGCAACCCTCATTAAAATATATTCAACCACTACCTTCTTAAACCCCTTTCGTCTGGCACTCATATGGTGATACATACTTTTGAACTATCTAATTTCCTTAATCTAAATTTAATAAATTTTTTTAGATAGGAGGCAATTCTTCTACATGTCTTCTTCTTCTTATTTGACACTACAACTGTTTGTCGCTTTGGGCCGAGACCAAAGAGTTTCTCCAATTGCCTCTCTACCGTGCGGATTTGCGCCAGTTTCTCATCCCGAGTGCAGATTCAATATCTCAATATAAATAGCTATAATATATCAGCCGCTAAGATAGGGCGGTTTTGAACTAAATTCTGTGACTGTTCTCAGCCGACAATACCATACTGAGAGTACCAGCTGCACTCTGAAAAAATCTACTCTAACCCTCGCAGAGGAAATATTCAAATATTCGGTGGAAAATCAAGCGGCGAAGGGTTTTGGGGCTTTTGAAAGAACTATGATATCTACTCAAAATCTATAGAATGACGAACTTGTCACGATCTTTAACGATATGAACATAATTAAACGCATAAAAAAGATCCTTCGACTCAGCACTCAAAACCAAAACCAAAACCGCATTATTCCGCAAAGTGCAAAAAGTGGCACATTTTTATATTACCTTTCCTTAGATAAAATTCCATACTTTTCATTTATGGAATAATATATATAAAATAAATTTGCATTGAAATTATAGCCAGTCTAAACTACAGAATTCAAATTTTTTTTAACAATTAAATTTTTTGCCGTTATCTTAGGCAATTTTAAACGGAAAAATTAAAAACTTAACTTAGCATTTCATGAGTTGTATTTTTGACAATTTTTTCCGTGTAAAGCCTGAAACTGATGTGGCTCTTGCTAAAATATTTGGTTTAAAATGCGCCAAAATCAATGGCCTGTTATCTGTGTATTATTCATTTTATACAAAATTGGGACCGGAGCCTTAATAATGGATAAATTGCCTTTCCAACAATACCATTTACGTCTATATTTGGTACAATAAAATTAAACGGCTCTAATGATTTTGATGAAATTTTGTACATAGAAAATATTTTGGATTTTAAAATCGAAGGTATTTTAAAGATTTCTAATTCAAAATTTTTTGAATAGGGTTGCCACTTATCGCATATTTGTTTAATTTTTTGTTTAGAAAAAAAAGCAAAATATTACTATTCTATATACAAAACGTTATCCCTTAGGATAATGATGGAAGGTTGCCACTTATTTTCGATTCTACACAATTTATCTAAAACATCACAATATGGATATCAAATGAACGGTATTGTTGAGAGCTTTGGTCAGAAAATATTTTTCATCAGAGTTGCCACGCTTCTATGTAATACAAATTTTTATTTTGTTAATTTCAATCAGCATTTTTTTTGTATGTATGCACAGTACATATACGCTCAAGATATCTACCATTCATTCGAGCGTATTGCGGAGTAGGGTTGCCACCTAAATTTAAGTAAGTAAGAAGCTTACTTAATAGATATCGAAATCCAATTTTTTTTACTGCCAAAATATTTTTTTAAAGCTATCCAAATCTTGAAATCTCTAAAACGTATATGCACTCCTGGCAAAGCTCGGTCAACCTGGTACTACGGATTAACGGCGCAGTTAATCTGAACAAAATTGTGCGCTGACAAATGACAGTATTGCAGATTAAACGAGCAACGATGGCGAGGGTTCAAATTTTTTTAGCTCCTTTAATTATTACTTTTATTTATATATTTTTGTTTTATTTTATTTTTTCTTATATTAAGTCCAAAAAATGTAGTGAGCATGCAAAAACAAAAAAAAAGAAAGTAAAATAAAATATATATTGAAAAAACATAAAAAAAGTTTAAGTAAAAATAATTTATAAAAATTTCGCGGAGGGAAGATCGAACCTGGGTGCTACTAACTTGTAATACATGGTTCTTATCATTCGGCTTCGTATAATTAAATCAAAATAATAAATTTAAAATAATAGGGTTTTCATTGCATTACATTTTAAAGTAGCCGGGTCTAATGACCACAGTCCATCAGTCGATCTTCCAATCTTTCTAGTGTTAAATAAGCTATGGCTGATATGGTCTTCAACTTTTCAATATTTTGTTTTTTTTTCGTTAAATAATTACTGATTTACATGCTTTTTAAAACCAAGTGAAATGCTTTAAACTAATACAAATTTTTTTCTTTCTCTTTACAGCACATATTTAGGAAAACCTGAAACCAACGTTATATACGTTTAGTATTTAGGCCCTTAATAAAGTGTGAACAAAATCAAAAGCATTTGAAAATCAAAAATAAATATATAACAAAAAATTATTAGACAATGAACATATTGGCGAAATTGTAACTAAGGCGGCAAAATGAAAAACAAAGAAAAGTCTTGAACTTTTCAGATTAACACTTCAAAGCCGCTCATTAAATGTCGGTTCAAGATGATCAACACCCGGAAAATTAATTGGTTTTAACTTTTTTCCACATTTTTAAAGGTGCGCTAGGCAAAAAAAAAAATAAATAAATAATTAATCGTGAATGTGATATAAGTATTTGAGCGAAAATAAGCTTAGGCGACTACCAAAATATAAACAAAAAAAAGGACCATTCGTTCGACCCGCCAATTTCATACGAACGACAACATAAAAACAACTACAAGGCATCAAAACCAACCGCTGACAAGCCGTGCAAAAGAAGTGTAAAATTGTGTTATGAAAAACGGTGGGAAAATTTTAGCCAAAAAAATTTGATCAAAAACATAGCAAAAAATTTAAGTTGTGCTGTACTTCGAAATGACGGCAATAGCAGTGAAATTGCAGTACAGCCCCAACGAACATTGAAGCAACGAATTTAGCTACTTTGTCGCGACAACCAAACCACCAACACAACCAAGCAGCAAAAAGACAACAACAACAACAACAATCATTGCCACTCGCAGTCAGCTACAGACAGCAGGAAAAGCAACAGCAAGGTGGAGCACTAAATGCGCCCCTCTGCGAATTGGGGTTGGGCGCATTTGTGTGAATGTGTGTTAAGGCGCTTTTGCTTGTTAGCCTCTTGCAAGTTTTCAAACGAGAGCACCTACATACATACATACATACGAGTACATATGTTTGTATGCGTGCATATGCGCTGTTGCAGTGTGTACAGTGTGCATGTGTGAGGTGAAAAGTGCAGCAGCAGTGCAGTGAAAACGTGCATTCAAAATGCTTAACGGATTAAAACTTTTTACATTTTTATGGCTGGCGCATGCGGCGGCGAACACTTGGATGAATTTCAACGGCGTTCAAGCACAACCGTCATCATTAACCGAGAAAATCCCATTAGGTGAGTCGCGAATGAGTGAACATTGCGCTTTTTTTTATGTATGTATGTATGTATGTTTTTATGTATGGGTTTAAGTAAATATTTGTCTCAACGTTAAGCAGAGTGCTGAATTAAGTTTGTCATCAAGTAAAGCCCAAGTGGCCTCTCAAAGGGTGTAACGCAATGATAGGGGAGCATAAATGATGTAAATAAGCTACGCTGTAAACTTGCACACATGCATATGAATGTACTTTTTCTTACACCCTCCGCATGTGTCAAGGCCTATTAATTAAAAAAAAAAAAAAAAACGTTAAAAAATGGTGATACAAGTATAACCTCATATGTATAGTATGTACATAGTTACATATGCATGCGTAAGCCACATTGTAGTCAAAATTATAGGATTTTTAAAATTAGTTAAATAATTGAGGTAGATAAGTATATGTTTTTAGTTTAGGTATTAAATTTAGCTTAAGCGAGGTTGCAGTACTTCTAAGTTGTATGCAGTTTTTTTTAGTATTTTTCAGAGCAGAAGGCAAATATGATTTTACGCATTTTTGTTGCTATTTAACTTTTTCATATTTTCTCACTTTTAACGTAACTTAACCTAACTTAACTTTTTTTTACTGTGAATGTGTTTAGAGCACTACTAAGTAGAGCTGGGTGTAATGGACCCGAATGGGATTTGATTTGATCCGTAACTCCTTTTGCTTATTTTCATGTAGTTAGTCAATGGGGCGTTCCATCCCAAAATGGACGGGGTTCACACTTCATGTGTTTGATTTGTTTCTATTTTTTAGGGTTGATGCATAAATAAAAATAATTAATAAATATGAAATTTGAGCTTGATTAATACAATTTTAAAAACTTTACATTACAAAAAACAAAAACAAATCGATTTAATAGTTTTCCAAATAACTCGAGGACGGGGCGAGGAAAAAAATAAAAAAAAATCACACATACACATATCAAAATTCTCTATGAAAAGAAATATCTTTTTAATTTTTTTTATTGAAAGATTTTTCACATACAAATTTTTTTATAAAAAAAAATTGTTTTCGAAAATATGCCATCTCAAAAAAAATTGTGTCAAATTACAATGGCAGCTCTGAGTATTACGCAATATTCAAGTATAGTGCTTTGGGGTGCACTCTACAAAAATTTGAGTTATGATTTTTTTTTAAGAGCATTAAAAACCTACAAAATTTTTAATTTTTTTTTAGATTTTTTTGGAGTATGCAGTTTTGTAGCTTTTTGCTGAGTTTTAATATTTTTTATGCTGACGGATTTTTGCACTTTTTTCTTATGGAAAAAATGCGCAAAACCGTTTTCAAAGAAAATTAAAAAAAAAATAACGTTAATTTTGCAATCACTTAAAACTTGCTCTTTGTTTTACTAAAATTTAATGGGATACAAAACTGCATACTTAAAAAAAATTAAAAAAAAAAATTAAATTGTAATTTTGCAAGGTTTTCATTTTACCCAACTTCGGGGAAAAAAAATTTATAACTCAAATTATTATAGAGTGCACCCCGAAATACCATACTTAAATATTGCGCAACACTTATGGCGTATTTTCAAAAACTAATTTTTTTTATCAAAAAATTTTAATATAAAAAATTTTTCAAGAAAAAAAATTTTAAAGTATTTCTTTTCATAGAGGATTTTGAAGTGTGTATGTGTGATTTTCTTAAATTTTTTTCCTCGTTCCATTCTCGAGATATTTGGAAAACTATTAAATGTATTAATCAAGCTCAAATTTTATATTTATTTATTATTTATGTTTGACCATCAACCCTAAAAATTTAAAACAAATCAAACACGCCCCGTCCATTTTGGTATGGAATGCTCCTCATACTTTTTTGATCATGTTAATTTGTTTTTTTTTTTTAATAATTGGTGTAGCTATTGTAAATGTAGCGGACACTACCAGCCAGGGTCCGTTGGACCCACATTATTACTTACATACATTAGGGTCAATTGACGTGAAAAAGGGATAAATATAAGAAAAGGTGTTGATATTCTGCATAATGGCTTTTAATTTGGCTCAAATTTTTGCACACAGCTTAGTTTCACACTAACTGTTTTACGACAGATATTTACGTAGCTAATAATAGCTAATATCATAGAGGTGCATAGTAAATTCAAAGTATTCATCGAGGTAACAAACCCCAGTACGAAAGACTTGTTTACACGGCTAAGCTTTTGGAGGTCTTTGGAGAGACGCGATTTTACCATCTGGAACTACTTATAAATACTTTTCATCGTTAGAAATCGGAATAATAACTACAATACACAACTTTAGTCTTCAACCCAACATAATAGCACTGTTCCAGGTATTTCACGATTTGTAGGTTTTACAAGAAAGGCTGTTTTCGTCATTAATAAACTTATGGAAGGTGGACACCGGGAACGACTTCCTACAATCTTTATACTCATCGTTCCTGTGTACAAATTAAGCTTATACGGTTAATATAGCAGCTTTGGTATGGTTTGTGGTAATTCGTTCGCTGATAAGGAACAGGTATCATAGGCACTGTTCAGTCGCAAATTTCGCGCTATTATCTGGTGACTCTAGATACTCCATAAGTTGAATAAATGCATATCTTTATAGACACCGGATGTGCCATGTGCGTATCCGTAGGTAAACTCCGCTTTGTCATTGGATGTTTCTAAGGAGAAACATCCACACCTACTGGTGAGCAGACACTGCTTAGTTCAGTGAGTCTCAAACCGAATAATGCAAACTAGCACCAGCAAGGCTCCTTCTATCTTCTTGCCGTGATCCACGGTTTTAAGCGGGCAGGTTACCGTACCTCACATTAGGGAAACTCATATTGCCCAGAGCACATGAATGGAAATATACGAGTCCGGATTGAGTATAGCCATGCAACTAAAACTGCATACCCAGAAGAACTACCGACCGCATTGCACTCCTATTATACCTTGTATCCAACTAACCTTTGCTTGCTTGCTATCTAATTTAATTATTTTACGCTTACTTTCTCTAGCGCCAACAAATTTGTGTCAAAGCTTAGTAACCTAAAACAGCTGGAAGGGTGTCTTTTGTTTGAAATTCCCCACATCAAAGGTCTATATGCTGCAGCATATGTACAATAGCTACCTTTATAGCGAGGTATGAGTGCGCAACGCAAGTCTAAAATTAGGACAGCACAAACACTAACTTACAAACGCCAGCATTCTTCGACACATTCTTTCACAGACGCAAATTTACACAAAGGTGGCTGGCAGAGAGAAGCGCTTCTGCGTGGTTGGTTCATTTCAAGCGCATATAATAATGTGGCATAGTGAAAGTGCGTCGACACTTATACATGCATATCATGCATATATATGTATGCGTATGTATTTGCCTGCATACATGCCACTTTTTACATAGCAACACCTGCACAGATCGCTCGTATTTATGCTAACGCTTTGTTACTTTGACATATCTACTGAATGTGCGGGCGCATTGCCTTTTCGCTGCCTCCCGGCAACACTTCTGTGTGTTGCCATTAAAAATAAGTAAATATTTATATGTACATATACAAATGTACGTATGTATGTACTTACATAGCGTACACATACTTATTTATTCTTATAGCCTTTGTTTGCCAACTCGTCTGCAACAAATTTTTATACGCCGCCACAACTATGCTCGTTAAAGAAACAACAAAGCAATGGCAGCAAGAGTAGTACCAACAATAACAATAACAACAACAACAACAGTGACATTAAAATTCTCCAACGTTTGTACCTTTCAACTTCAGTGGCAACCTGACTCACCAACCAGTTGTTAGTCGCTGGCTGGTGAAAGGCTTTCCCATAACAATTGCAGCATTAACACTTCTTTATGCAAACGACATTAGCTGCAAAATACTCGCTATGCAACTATGTATGGCGCTATTGCACCATACACGATCGAGGGTAAGAAAATCGTTGAAAAGCTGTCGCACGGAGGGTTGCCTGCCTGTCGCGCCCGGTGAGCTGACTGTTGCTGCTCCAGCTCCAGTTCCAGTTCTAGCTTTTAGAGCTCGCTTGCTCACCTGTCGCTGCTGTATGTTGGCATTGTCAGTTGTGGTGTTGGTGGTCGCATTACCAGTGCTGCCACTTAATTCACAAAAGGCGGTAGTTGCGCCTTAGTGCGCTTAGTGCACTCGAAATGTCGCTGTATGCACGCTGCTCTGCAGTTAATGTGTATGCATGTGTGTGCAATTTTGCCCGGAGGAAATTTGGGTCGTAAAAATCAACACAAAAGCACATTTTAGTACTTTTCCGGTTGTGCCATTTATTTCTATAGAAAATGCTTTGCAACGCAGAGGAAAGGATATTTTTAGACAAGCATGTTTTGTTTAGCCCGGGAAGTGGCAGGCAACATAATATGTTTATATGTAAACTTACGCGTTCATATATATTTTCTTATATAAACGTAACCTCTTTACAGTTAAAATATTTAAGCTTATAAAAGGATGCGCGATTTAAGAAAACTAGCCGCAGAATTTAATGTTTCAGACAGTGAACTTTTTTCTTCTGCAATGAAAAATTATTAAAGTGAAATCTGTACGTTTTCCGAAAGTTAAAAACTTAACATTTGCC